GGGGCATAGGAGGTGGGTTGAAAAGGCGGGAAGGGATATCGTTAGGATAGACAGACTAGGGAAGACATTTTTGAGCCACCTTTGGCAAAGTAGAAAGGAAGATTGGCCCATCGGCGATCGGTCCCGTGGGAACAATGCTCCGTCCTCNGGTGAGAACCCGGCGTGCTCCGTCCCGGCTTTGTAGGGATGCGAAGTCAATGGTCTAACGACTACGGCATGCACGACTATAAGTCCCCCCCCCCCCCCCCCCCCCCCCCGTCGACGGTAGCTGTACTGGGGAGTAGCAAGTGGTTTGAAACGGCGCGAAGGGATATCGTTAGGATAGACAGACTAGGGAAGACATTTTTGAGCCACCTTTGGCAAAGTAGAAAGGAAGATTGGCCCATCGGCGATCGGTCCCGTGGGAACAATGCTCCGTCCTCTCGAGGACGCGTGGTCAATGGTCTAACCGCTAAGGCATGCAAAACATAAGAGTAAACCCGCCCCCCCCCCCCCCCGTCCACATCCCGCTTTCGTGGCCAAACATACCCCCCGCATACTATTTCTGAACCCCCTGTTCCCTCTAGTTTTGTTCGTTTCATTCAACTGCCAGCGAAACAACAGGACACAAGTCAGTTATCGTCACCTAGCGCACCAATCGTCATGGTACCACTTCGATCGTGTGCTCCATTGCGATACCTCGTGGGCGTGACGGTTTTGTTAGGCATGGGTGCTCTGTGTGGGAAGACCTTCATGGCGGCGCGGAATCCAAATCGTTTTCTTGGCCCGGGCAATCGGGCCGCATCGCCAGACAAAGAAGCCAAACCGGTTTTCACATCGCCACGATGCTCTCGCCACATACAGCACCCATGCCCAACACAACTATCACGCCCGTAGACACAACAATGGAGCACACGCTCGAGGTGGTGCGATGGCGACCGGCGTCCTAGGTTTCGAGAACAAATGTGGTGCTGTGCTCACATTGCTGGCAGTTGAATGCGGCGGTAAAAACAAAACATCGCGATAGCAATACATGGCCTGATCACACCACAGAGAGTCCAGCGGCATCGAGCCCAGATGCTGTCGCCCGCTGTGCGTGTATGTCGCCTGTTATGCTTGCGCTATCTGCTGTGCGTGTGTTCTCTGCTGTGTGGTATCGCTCGCGTGCGTGTGTTCGCTGCTGCAATCTGCTACGTGCTCCGAAAAAAAAAGGTGCATCTGCTGACCCCTGTGGTCCAAAATCAAGTCATGTACTCTACAACCTAGATTAAGCGAACAGACTGCACAAAGTTTTTGGTTTTGATGGGGCCCTATATTGCGGCGAGGCCTCAGGTCATATTAGAAATTTCACTTCGCTAGAATAATAACGACACAACAGATGGCTCGGTCGATGGAAATATAAACACAACGCACACTAATGTCACACACACGTTCAGCCGGTCAATGAAAATAATAAAGACATGTGCACAGACACAAAAACGTGGGGAGCGCAGGCAGGTATACATACGTCGATGGAAAAAAGATCAAGAAAACCGTGGGGTCGATTGGCTGTTTACACCCCGGGATAGTGTACGCCAAAACGCCGTGGAACCCTCGATTGCAGCGGGGGAAAAGCCACGTCCGCCAGCGTCTGGAAAAATGACAAGCTCCTTGCCAAGGACACGAGAGGAATGAGGCCGCCGACAACCATGTTCACAGCGAGGCTACTTTTTTGAGGCAGGCGTTGGAAAGTGATGTAGTTTCTCTCGCGCCAGCAGGTTCTGTCGCATATTTAGCCAATTACGCAACCAGCGTGTGTGGCGTTTGCTGCCGGAAATGAACATGAGCGGAGACATATAGGATTGCAAACTAAAACTGGCGACAGTACTGCGGAGCATCACACGCAACGTATGCATACAGGACTGTAAAACACCGGCCTTCACGTGTATCTCCGGTAAGCTGCATCTATCTACCGTATGAAACACAAGATAACACACCCCCTGGACCGATTTTGAAAGCATGAACGACATGATACGTTTTCGGAGAGCTCTCAACCAGACGGCTTCAACGCCGCCGTTTTCGGCGCTGCGTCTTTATCTGCTGTTGATAAATCGAGCTTTGAAAATCGGTCCAGGGGGGGGTGTCATCTTGTGTCGTATGCGGTACACAAAGCCCGTAACGTGCGACATTTTGAGGTTTTATCTCAACATACGCGTGCCGTAAGAACGCACATCATCGTTCCCGTTCGAAATGTACACTTCGGTTATGTCAGTGAAAGAGAGGCGAATAGTGAGGGGGCTGGGAAGGTGTGTGAGTAGACTAAATGATACTGCTGCCTTCACGTGGTGTTGTCTAGCTGCCCCCAGCTCGCCGTGATGAAGCAACTTGCAACAGCCGCAGCCAATTTCGCTTTGCGTGGGTACACTCAACCTAATGCAGGCACGCACTCAAAAGCAGTGAAAAAAAAAGTAGAAGATGTATTATTCACACATGCATAAGTGTTGTCAGCAGAGTAAACAATGCTGCCTGATCTATACCGGGAGTCAATCGGTCGTGTACTGGGGAGTCACGATCGAACAGACTGCGACCCATGCAAACTTTGTGGTGAGGTGCATTGTCTCCATGCACGGACCGCTTGAGCCGAGCTCACTCCCTCGTCTGCACCAAGACCGGCGCCTCAACCTCCCTTCATAACAGGATGGTTCGAGTAGTCCTCAAGACACTATGCGCGTGTCATATGCCCATCGCCGTTGAGGATTCTTTCACATTTACTACAGGCACTGATAGGGGAAGGGGGCTCTACAAGATGGATTTGTTAATTCCCTCAGGATTACACGCAAGAGAAGGAAGACGAACTCTGTACCAAGTCCATTCTTCTAGATGATATTATCGTAAATCCAACTGCAAATCGAATCATCGACAAGTCGATCCAAATGCCAGGATCCGCCCTCGAAGATCGAGCTGCAAGTAGGGCAAATCACTATGCGGGAACTTTCAACCTACCCTCTTGACTGCTGCTTTTTCAATTTATGGTGGTCTTGACAAAGGCACCAGTCGACTCATCGTTGCTGTATCGCCTACCACTTGGCGCACGAAGCTTTTTGCCGGGGGAATTTTAACGACGAAAGGGCCTTGGTTTGCTTGAAAGCTTTAACACACGATTCGGACATGGTTCACCTTCGAGCTAGCTCGTTTTCTGTCGATGCGAACTCGCGATGTGTTCAAAAGTCATGGGCTACTGATCGACCAACTTCTACCACGGCCAATCGGTTGGGATCTCTGCGACAACGATAGTAATGCGGGTGATTCTTTTGGGAGTGACGGAGACGAAGGAAAGAGGAAGGGAAGCAAGGAGGACGAAGACGACGATGGAGGAGGAAAACATGGAGGACTGGAAAAGTGCAAAGGGTTTGGGCCAGATGACCTTCCTCACAACAAAAGGCGCAGGGCTAGGGAAGAACTGCCAAAAGGTTGCTGTGAAAAGGATGATGATAATGATGGTGACGATAACAAGGAAGATAATGGTGAAAGCACGCCAAAACGAACACGAGCGAAAGGTAACAGCCTTGGTAGACGCGTGCAGTAATCATCTGTCGCTACCGTTTCTGTCTTTGATCCGGAGGATAGTTTAGCCTCCCCCATGCTGCCCCCTCACGGAGTCCCAGCTCATGGCAGATAGAAGTGTTTTGTGTTGTCAACCGCGATAGACTGACATTTTTTCATCGGTCAGCCGGTTAGCGCGGTCGATGCTTATGGTAAAACATGCACACAAGACAGAGGTCACGACGTGTGTGAGGAACAAAGAAAAAATAGGGATTGTTACGTTCCTTTTCGTTTGACGCCAGAGACGATGAGCTAAACCGGAACAAAGGATAATGACATTTGACTTGTTGTCCTTACCCGTGCAATGACCAAGTCAGTGATGAACACCATCAAGGAACAACTTGCTGCGGGCGGCTACACCACCACCCCCGAGCAGCGGCTTCACTTCCCCACATTCCCCAGCGAGAACAATGGGCGGTGGCACGCACCAAATGTAAAGAGATAGCGAGTGCATCATACTATATTAACAAGCGAGGAGAGTACCATTTGCTTTTGAAGCAACGAGTACATCTCTTGACTTTATTTACTCTTACACGCGGTCAAGTGCAAGATGAATCGGGGGGGGGGTCAGTTCTGATCAGCGAAGCCACGCAGGTTGGCTGCCACGTTGTCCGTCATCATTATGCACGCGCTGCTGTGTTACCCGTTTCAAAGGTCGCGATAGCCCCGCCTTCTTATTGGGCCACGGGGTATCAAACTTGCGGATCAAAGGAGAGGGTCACGTGTGTGTGCGTGGGTGTGAGCATGCTTTCGCCCTGCAGTTTGAGAGCGGTGTGCCGTACTGAACGGGGGCTTGGCTTGCCCGCGCTCTACTGCTGTAGACGATACCTACGGGTCCGTCACCACTTCGGCTAACGCGGTTTGACACGTAGGGTGTGCGTGATGGGCTCCTAATGGAGAAGCGGAGAAGTTCTTGCAAAAAAACACAAAACACGCGCATCCTTTCCGCAGTCAGTCCAGCTCACCTAGCGACGCAAGAATTCCATAGAACCAGTCAACGAGAAACATGGTAACGCCTGCCTGTTGCTGGGGGTGATTGCCAAGACGAGCTGGTTGACTTCGAAGCTCGAGCAATCTTGTTTGAGGAACAGAGGAAGGGGGCCCGCGGATGAGATGGGTTTCCAATGCGCAGAGAAAGGCGGCGGGATATTATTGTGACGTTTCACCCACCACCCACCACAACACCAAGCGTCTTCGATGTCTTCGTCCTTTTGGCAACAGGGGTTCTAAAGGCCATGGTGATGTCCTTCTCTAGAGTCGTTTCGCTCAATTCTTCAGGTCAGCAGCTCTATACGAAGAACTCGACTAAAGACAGACAAGGACGGGGTACATGTAGTGTACCAGATTTTGAACGTTTATCGACTTCAATGCGACGGTCGCGTGTAGACACACATGTCGCACTGGGAGCGGCTCCTCCTGTCTTCCTTGAGCGGGGGTGAACCAGTCAATTCCTGGCCACCAGGGTTTGGAGATGTTGCGAGACCTCTGGCATCGCCTAGACACACCCAAAACAAGAATCGATCCCTCGTTTCCTCAGCATCGTCGTCAGTCGCAAGTACCGCCTCCAGGGTGAGGAAGCGACGACCGTCGGTGCTGGGTGGCGGCTTCTCTACGGCCGGATCATGTGCAGCATCGTCCCCAAATAGCATCCAAGGTTCCTGGATCGAGGATGACACAGACCCGAAAGCTGGACCCTGCTGGCAGCAGCGAGATGCCGATCGTGTGGGCCACCCTGCAACAAGGAAAGGATCAAGATCAGACGGCCACGAAGACGACGATGACGACGACGACGACGACGAAGAGGAGGGGGAAGACCACGACAAGAAGACCGAAAGCACCGAGATCACTGTGGTCGGGTGGGGAGATCGCAGTAGCAGGCGTAACTCGTCACGGCGTGCCTCTCGAGAAGAGACGGCAGAATGGAACGATGGCCGACCTCGAAGGTTGTCTAGCAAGGGCGTGGTGCTTGCTACAGCTACCGCTACTGCTAACTCGCGGCAGCGACAGCACCAGCAGTATGACGGCACAGCAAACGAGACCCACCAAGTGGAAGCTGGTGTACGCAACAAAGTCAAAACTCTCGGAGGAGCGGCAACCAGCATCGGGACTGCAATTGCGTACGTCGGGTGAGAGCTATACGCGCGCAATCAATCTCGTCCTTAGCGGCGTCCAAGAGTCGATTCCCCGCAACTGATTCCACACCTCATTCGCCGTATTCAATGAGTGAGACAGACTAACATAATGATGTTCAACATGTTTTGTTTGAACTGATTATGAATGATAATGATTCCATCGCAAAGAAGGAGTCTCCGTCGTGTCACCGCCCAATGTTGCCAAAAATTTCGAACAATAACTCTTTGAGGGCTGTCAAGTATTGATCCCTACAACCTTTTCGTTGAGCGATATGTACAGCAAATATGTGTTCTCGTGATGTGCATTAATGTTGAACCATTACGTTTCGTACCCGCACCAGGTGTGGTCTCTGCCATTCTTACATTTCCTCTCATTCAACGTTTGCCGACTTCCTTTAGCGCCGTGAGATCGCGGAAAACTCGCAATATAGTCTGCCAAACGAAGGCGCAGCGTCTTGCGTAGAATATATACTTGCGAAGAATAAGCGAAACAATTGTCTGACGTTAACCCTAGATATGAAGCAACAACAACCCTGTTGCATCGTGAGGCAAGCTCGTGGTGTCTTTTTCGGTAATCCCTACCCGCCGCCGCTGCTTGTGTCGCTCATTCCGCAGCAACGGCAGCGACGACGGGTCGGGGGTGTCGATCAGTGTGGAGCGCGCCACTGAAATCGTCACAATCCCGACAATCACGCCTCCCCCCTTTCGCGGATGGCAACAAGCCGCCCCCAACGCCGCCGCCGCCGCCGCAACAAGCATACACAGCGTCGCACAACCGTCTCCCACTCGTGAAACACCCGGAATCGTAACCCTCAAAGTCTCCTCCCAATCACCGGCGTCAAAGTCGGCGGGGGAGGGGGTATCAGCCAAGTCTGCCATGACGCCGACCAGGATGGGTCTGGCCGCATCGGCGCCGAACCTGCCAACCCTGGGCTCGATGAACAACGAAAGCGATCAACGTAGCAGCGGAAGTGTCTCTCGATTTCCGCAGGTGTTGCCACGGCAACGGTGGCGTCAGGAAGGGCGGGGTGCTTCTGTGAGACACCGGGCAGGGCTTGCGGTCGCGGCGGGAGGAGGGCTGGAGGGATGCGGCGTCCTCCAGGACGGAAGGGGGCAAAAAGTGAGTGGTGATCGTGGCAGCAGAGTTTCACGAAGACTGTATCATCGCCGAGCCTCCGATACGGCGGAGTCTCTCAACATTTTTCCCCTCTCTCCCGGAGGCCCTGCTCCATTCGCTGTTGACGACATGTGTACGTTCAGGAGCTCCCGTGCTCGTTTGCCACTCTGTCAAATAGCACAAGCAGCGTGGTCTGTGACGCGTCAATGTCAACTACCTTCATGGTGCTGCAGAAAAAAGAAAGCAAGGTTCATTACACCACCTGCTGGTGCTGCACGAAAAAAAACAAGGTTCGCAAAGTGCACGAGTGGGCCGCACTCTGGTTAACATACCACCAGCATGTATGTAGCATACCAAAACCTCGATCCCTTCCCCCCTTCCTCAGGTGTTCCACAACTTCGTGTTCCGCCGCAACAAGCGCCGCAAAGACCGAAAACCGTTACGCGACACCCTGGCGTCTCTCGACGACAACGCAACAGACTACCAAGCGGTGGCTTCGGCGGGAGGCATAAGTGGAAGAAGGGCTGCGGGAAGGAGGTGTGGGGGCCATAGCAGCAGCAGCTGCAGCGGCAGCAGCGTGGAGATGACGGAGTCATCGCTGCGTCGTCGGCAGAACTGGGAATCGCACCCTTCGGGAGATTGGGACAGGTATGCAACGCTACGACAGCGATGACTGCGACACACCGAGCATACATTCGCTGAAGGTTGTTAACAAATTAGAGGCACAAGGCTGGGTTTCCCAGTAAAAAAACGACGTGCTGACACGTGGTGCCTTGAGGATACAGCAGTGTTTAAGAAGAGGCGACTTTCCGGTCTACATGAGACGTCAGCTGGGTTCTTCGTAGCTCTGATCTGAATCCAGTATCTCCTCTCCCATCAAATTTTGTTCAAGGCAGTGAGACGAGCGCCGCGGTCAACACCATACCAAAAACCGTTCAGTGAAAAAAACAGATCAGAGCAAAATTCCACCCCACCAATCGCACGAAGGCACAAGATCCTAGGACAACTACAATAGTTCAGAGAGACGAAAACAGCGTAGGGTTGGGATAGCCCTATATGTCTAAAATGTTGCACAGTCCGCCGCTCCGGCTCAAAAGCCCAGCCAAGAAACAATCAATCGCTAAGGTATAGAAGTGCATTTTTTCTCCTTCAAGTGCCTACGGTGTCGCGTCGTCCGTGTTGCCACGTTGTTGGTGTCCTGCGTCCACTGTACCTTATTGCATCTCCTTGTTCCTAGTTCAAAAGCGATGGTGACAAGTTGAGCCAAATTCGCGGCACACACGAAATAACCAAAAGCTATCAAGAGAACGAACCGGGAAACGCCCCATAGCATGGGGTGTGGGATGCACCTGTGGGGGATAGCCGACAAGAACAGGGGTAGTTACGCACAGTACCACTTCGATTGCGCCCCGGTCATGAGGGCTGCGTTTTGCCCCTCCCAAATGAATTGATCATCAACAACAACAACGAAAAGAAACTGCTACAACAGTCTCAAAACATGCAACACCCCTTCAAATATAGCGTGCGCGTGTGGCCCGCAACAACCATCAACAGACCCGAGCGCCCGGGGCAGATGAACCGAACGCGCCCGCCCCCGCGGATGCCGCGCGACGCCTTCTCCGTCGTAAGCTTCAGTTCTTCCGGCTCCGCTCGCTCTCCTTGTTCTTCGCCGCCGGCGAATGGCCAGCGGGTCGGCGGTGGCCCGTGCTCCAGCGGCGTAGGAAGGAGGCCTGTGAAGTGCCAGAGGTGCGGGTCGGGCAGGGTGAAGCTCTTTGCGACGACGGTTGCATCAGCACGCCGCTCGCCGACCCACTTGCTTCGTCAACCGCACAGTGGTGCCAGCAGCGACAGCTTTTGTGCAAGGGCCCGACATACGCGGGAGAATGCTGGCGGCGGCGGCGGTAGTCGAAACGGCGGCATTCCGACTTATTGCGATGCCGGTAGCGGTAGCAGGAGCAGCACAGATCGGCTTCGGCTAGGACCGGTGAGCAATCGCCACAAGCAGCAGAGAAACACCCATTTGGTAACGTCGATGTTGTCTCCATGGCGCAAGAACCTCGCGGGGTTGAGCGACACCGGCCGAATCGGCACGGGAGGGGAATTACTTGGGGAGCTCCGCGGAGGCGAGAGGAACGCGGCGAACCGTCCGCGCGGGTTGATAGATGGTGCGGCGGTAGTGGGCAGCAGGAAGGCATCGGTCAGACCACCTCCCGGCGGCGGTATCATCATCCCAGCACCGAAACCACACCTCATGACGCGGGTCTCAAGCGGAGGATCAGGGCTCTGATACACACGTGCCCGCTTGAAGAAAGCCTGGGTGTATTCGGAGAGGGGTGAAGCTTTCAAGAACTCACCTTGCCCATTCTGCACTAGCTTGTGTAGCGAATGCTGGCACCTTGGCATTCTGGACTCTACCGGTAATGATCCTTGGAAATATTGCGGGCAAATTGAAGTTTTGTTACGCCAATGAATACCATGGAGAGATAGGATATGACGAGACATGCATGAACAGAATAAAACGCAATTTCCAGCTGCTGCGGCTCGACCTGTGCTGGTGCGCACGTCACACAGGTGTGTTGGTTGTGCCCGTCTTTACGTCATTACCGCTGCTCCTGGAGTGTGACGCCGAGGTTGCCCTTGCCGGCCGTTCAGAGTTTTTGTTCACATCTTGGTCGCTCCTCACACACTAGTCTGTTCAGAGTTCTTTTCACATCTTGATCGCTTCTCACACGACAATCAAGCTACTCAAGAGGCGTGCTTCAAAAATAAAACGCAATATGCACACGCGAAGCTACTCGCCCTCTCTAATTTGAGCTCTTGCTGCCTCTCGACTTCAACAGCAATGTACACCCCAAGGAGACGCGCGTCTCCACGCTTTGCCGGATGAGTTCTGCGCAGAGAAACGACATGTACCTACAACCGCCTATCTCTGCCTCTCGATGTTACATTCGTTCTGTAGCGATTGTACACAGGACGATCGATTCCGCAAAACACAGTCTTTGTGACGTCGCTTCCTCTTGTGACGTCTCTTCCTCTTGTGCCGATGATTCATGTCCGCCAAACTTAGGGAATCGCATTCGCACACTGTTGACTTGGACAATCTCGCAAGTGAAGTGTGTCGAATGGGAACCTAGAACAGTGCTCGCTCTGCAAAAACTCTCCATGCAGCAGAACGGTACGAATAATCGATTTATTCAGCGCTGAACCAACCTGGAGAACACACACGCGCACCAGACCATGAAATCCTAACTGCAATCTTCGTCAACCCGTCTCCATGGACTATTGTTCCCCATCACACCACGCACAACTCTGTTCCGACCTAACAACTGACGAACCCGGTACAGCTCCGCTTATTCACACCGACAGACAAAACCAACGTGCCCCGCTCAGTCTTGCAGAAAGGTCGACGATGCGGGACCCATTGGGTCGTTCCACAGCACCACCAGTAGCCACAGCTGCAGATGGGGAGGGGGGGGGTAGGATTGATAAGAAGGCATCTGGCGGGAGAGCTGGCACAGACGCGGGGGGTCGTGCTTCCGAGCGAACAGGCGCGCAGCGGAGGTGGAGAAACCAGACGGCGGGTGCCATGACGAGGTTTGCGTGTACCAGAGGTTGCACAAGATACCCCCCTGGACCTGTTTCCAAAGCTCGGTTACTCTGCAGCACAACCATGGGACTGTGCCGAGAATGGTGATGTTGGAGCCTCTACGTCGAGAGCTTTCCGAAAACGCACAATTTGATGTTGGCATCATCCTCGTTGTGGAGTACCCGGGCTTTGACAAATTGGTCTAGGGTGTGTGGTATCTTATGCAACCTACGGTAAGAGGGGGCCCGAAGGAGGGCGGGGAAAGTAAGAAAGAGACCGGTCGACTGAAGACTTTACCTGGGATATCAGCACGAGCCACAGCGCGGCCACCTTGAGCGTTGCCCCCGTCGACATTTCCTCCTCCCTCGCCTTTCTACCTCTTAAGTCCGACTCGGCTTTCGCCTTCATAGTTTCGCGAATCCCAAGCTGCTGCTGCTGCTGACCGCCCTCCCCGGCAGCACGACCACCGTCCCCCAGCTCCCCCCTGCCAGAGCTCCTACCCTGCGTTTGGAGAAGAATGAGATGGAAAGCCGTGAACGAAAAGCCCTCGCTCCCGCACGATGAGAGCCCGGGTTCAGGAGCGCGGGTGGGTACGGATGGTCCATGACACCCTCCCCCCGCATTTTGCGCAACTACCCTACCGCCAACGCTCAACGCTACCACGGAAAGGGTGAAACAAAGTAACGCCGCGACGGGTAAAATGAGCGGGAAAGTGGTATTCCTCCGCACTTGAAAGCAAACATTGGTGACGGCGGAATCGATTCTGGGACTTGAAAAAACTCGGATAGATATTCCGCATACATATACTTCCTATAAAGTCCAGAACGAAATCATTTAAAAATCGATTGCACCCCCATGGGATCTCTCGCATCCTTACGGTAGACTCACTCAGCCTCCACACCTGTTGCGCTTCCCTGGCGGCTGTTCCCGGCTCCCCTCCCGCCCCGCCGTCGGGGATGACTAAGTTGAACGGGATGCCGAAGATGTCCACCTTTCTCGCCTCTTGTTCCTCCTGAAGGAGCTACGAAAGCATGCAGAGAAGGTAAACCAGTCGGCTCAGGGGGGGGGGAGCATACCCTTATGTCTTGCATGCCGTAGCGCTTAGACCATTGACCCCGCGTCCTCGAGAGGACGGGGCAGTCGCAACAGGGGGGGGGAATTTCAGAAGGGTAAGCACTTGCGTCTCTTTGCCCGCGATGCCTGGCGTTGGCAACTAAACCGAAGCTGGCATTTCTGTAGGGAGGGAGATGGGGATTGGCATCTGGTGAGGATAACACGATGATGAGAGACCGTCACCGAGACGCGTTTTCGCGATGAACGCACACGAGATTTTCGTCACAATAGTAATACCTCCGAGTGTATTGCGACACAGGCCTCAGGCAAATGGTTTTGCTGCCTGCCTGCTCACGACGCTAGCTCCACGCAGACGTGGGTGAGTTTCTTGCTTGGAACCTGTTCACATCAACATGTCAAAAATGGCTCGTTCTACTTCAAAAATCAATGCCGTAGGTTGCAAAAGATATCACACCCGCTGGACCAACTCGATGTCTCGGCAGCAAAAGCAGTTACCGTGTCGAAACTGGCGGCGTTGGAACCGTCTTGTCGAGAGCTTTCCGAAAACGTATACTTCAAGTTCGGCATCCTCTTCGTGGCGGAGTAATCGAGCTTTGAAGATCGGTCCAACGGGTGTGATATCTCTTGCAACCTACGATACCCAGGAACGGAACGCAACACAGACGGAATCCCTCGTCAGCGTGCAACTTTTTATCGTTTGTCACGCAGTGAGTTCACCGGACTCTGTGCGACCCCGGAATAGAGTAAAACTAACGCGCAATGTCCCGTGAGCTCATCACTCGTCTGTTGCCGGTGGTGAAGCTGCCTGTAGTCGACGCGTGTGAATGCCCCAAGCCACAATTCATGTCAAGAAAAAAAAAGCTCGGACGCCGACATGTTGGATAGCCTACCGTCGTACGAAGTACTGTAGACAAGTTGTCGTCTGTGGATTGTCCCTCCCCCAACCACACGCGGAATACATCTACTCCTCTCATTCTGTGCGGTCCTTTCGGTCAGTATGTGTGTTCGCCCCCATCCATTCTGGCGCCGGTTTACATGCCTTTCGGCGTATCTACCTGACGTATCAGCCGGGGTCACAAGAGGAAGGTTTACACAGTGCGGAACCATAAGGCAGGAACATGTGCCATGTGCTGGTCTTCACCCACACACCTGCGACATCCGTTCCTCCACCAGCTTCACTTCCTTCTCGTCCGCCTGCGTGGTGTCGTTGAAACCAGAACCACGGTTGTTCCAAAGCACGGCATGCTGGGCTCAGTTCGTACTCCGGAGATTGTATGTGCACAAAACACCAGAGACCGCGTTCGTGAGGGGACTCGACAAAGCATGACATCATAGTACTGCAAGAGGCGACCCCCCTTAGGCCGAATTTCAAAGCTCGTAGTCTCCGCAACAAAGCGGGTGCGGAGGTAGCCCGATGCGTTTACGGAAACCCCTCGGCGAGATGCTTCCGAAACCGCCATTGTCGGTGTTGGCACAAGCTTGGTTGTGGAGAAATCGATTAAAAATAGTTTAAGGGGGGGTGTCATCTCTCCTCTTACTGGCTGGAGTGGAACACAAGTGTCGGGCGGAACGTTTGTGGTACGTTCGCTCCTGCCCTTTCAGAAGCATACCGTACACACGAATTTCGATTTTTCGTTTGTTGCTTTTGCACGCATACCTGTCCGGCGAGTTGCTTTGCTTTCATCCCTTTGAAGAGAACTTCGTAGTTCCTCCGTGCCGTTCGCGCTCTTACAGCGGTTCGAATCCGCGACTGTATGGGAAGCACACGTAGCAGCGAGTCAGGGCTCTCGTTGAGCTCCGAGATCAAGGCTTCCAATGTCTATATGCATAGAACCCGAAATCAAACTATTCAACAACAAGTCAGCGCTGACTAGTCGAATGGTTGATTTGGCTTCTAAAAAAGTTAGTCGCGGGGTTCGTGAGCCCCGTATCTGTCACTTCCCGCGGAGGGTAATACGTATCTACAGCAGTACATGTGTCGAGTGTCCGGGTTTGGGACGGAACAACATTTACCTGGAGAAACGCGAAGGCCACCACAACAGCGGCGAAAGAGGCCGTAGCAGCGGGGTCTACCCTCGCACCCATCTCCGACCCACCCGCTTCCCCAACGATGGCTGCTGCTGCCGCTGCTGCTGCGGAGGAGCAACTGGGGAAAGCTGAGCACGCCGCCGCCACGAAGGCTACCACGTCGCCACCCCGAGCGATGCTGCCCACGACACGATTTCCCTCACGCCGTCCTTCGCCTGAAGGGGCACTGCTCATGCGCGTCGCTGAGCTTCGCTCCCCCGCGCGCGACGCGAATGTTGCCCTCCCTCGAGTCAGTGGCCGCATCGGTGTCCAAGGCTGTCTGCTGCTGCTGCTGCTGTTGTCAGGGTCGATTTGATGCTTCTGACCGCCGTGTCTTCGAGAGCTTGTCAGTGTTGAGAAATAGAGCAACATCCGGGGAGGGCTGCTGAAGGCAACGGTGGTGGCGGCGGTGGCCGTCGCGCTCCAGGAAGAAGCGGTGTGGAGGAACGCCAGCAACAGCATCAACCTCGTCAACATTGTCGTGGTCGCTTGCCGAATTTGAATTCACAGAAACGATCTGACGATGCTGGACGCTGTGTCAACAACGAGTGTGCAGATGCCCCCGTGACTCTCAGGATAGAGCAAACGGGCGGCTCGGTTCTTGCCTCTGTGAGATTCCCTTGCTGTTCACACACACGGGCTAGGGCACCGTAGGGGGCAGCGCGGAGACAGGAGGGCAGGACAGCAGTTCAACCCCTCGTCATCATGCTGGAGACGCGGCGCAATTAGGGGGGGTGCGCAGATCGTAACTTGCTGTTCAGCGCTGCCGGCACGAGCACGCGACACCACAGCAGTCTTCTATTTTCCTACCATGATCACTTACACGCACTTTTCTCCAGTGACCATGTTTTCGGTGCACCGCGCTCGTTGCTGTCGCCACCTCGTCCTATCACGTGCGTGCGTGAAGAGACAGCGGGAATGTCCCGAAGAGACAAGAGCAGGGCACTCATCCTCCTGTATCTTGAGAGCCACGGGGACCTCGACAATTATTATGTACCATGGTACACAGCAGCAGTACAACAGAGCCTACCTCAGCCACAGACGTTGTTCCATTCACACAAGTGTTCGAACAACCAAAAGGAATTAGGTATCACCGATCCTTCAGTCAGTGTATTCCTCCCTTGTGTACTCCAAAAAATAATGCAGGGAGGTGTCTTTACATCGTTCACTACACCCGGCGGGGCTGTCGCGGATGTTGCTCGACTTCGCAACGCTGACAAGCTCCCAAAGACGACACCCTCAAAAGATCTCGGTGCTAATATGCAATCAATGTTCGCCAAAACGCGAAACCGACACGAGACTGCTGTAGCTGATCTGATGTATATTCCAATCCACCGGTATAATGTCGTCGCCTTTCAAATGCAAACCTGATGAGTACTTCTTTTTTATTTTTCTTAATGACACAACGAGTCCATCTCTATCATTGATAAGAGTCAGAGACAGATTGACAACGGAATCATAGCGTCAGAAAAAACTACCTGTATGCCTACGAATTCCCAAACAGCATATTGGGACATCTCCCCTGCGGATAACAGGCTCAACAAATCAGTTTGGTAGCTGTCTTGTGTGTCTCATATATATGTTATGTTGGGAAGGTGGGTTTTGGGTACTGCTGTTGGTTAGTCGGGCGTTTTGTGTGTCGCACCCTGTTAGTTGTAGGACATGCAATCTCCATCAGTTTACAAACGTATTTTCAGTTTGGTGTGCATATGTGCGGAGTATATGCGGCTGATGTGTGGGCACACGGGAGTGGTCTCACCGTTCCCCCCCCCCCCAAAAAGGAAGTATATATGTATAAAAAAACTGATGTCCTGAAGACCAGGTCAGATATCCTTCATGCTTGCCAAATGGCCAGGCAACATCATCGTCGAACCGGCACCACCATGAGGTTATTGCGGAGCTGCTTCGTTCAAAGGTAAAACTTTCATTGCATATAGACTATTCTTTGCGCTCATCTGTAAGCAAGACTGTTTTTATTTACCGTGTCCAACATAACGCATTCACAAACGTGACATTAGAGCTTCAGAGCTTCAGGCGAATCTCCTGGCAAACATATCCGCAACAATGGACAGCCGGTTCGGGTTCTTCCTCTTCTTTCTTCACGTCCCTACCATTTCGTATCGCTGTATTTCTGTGCTACACCGTACAGGTATCCTGCAACAATGGACACCTCGTTCTTCCTCCTCTACTATACCTCTCAAGCACATCCTACTATTGAACTTCAAAAATATCGTATATACATGCTACGCTCGGTCTTGCTCCTCTTCCTTCACCTCCCAAGGTGTGCTCATCTTCCTTCACCACCGAACCAATTCGTACCGCTGAACACCCTCCGGTGGCCGTCCCGCCTAATGGGCGGGTGGCCACCTTACCATAGTAATGAAATACTCGAAAAAAGGGTTCGAACGAAACAAAACAACTTCAGAAAAGGCCGGACGAAACCAACCATTCGAAACCTACTCACGTCAGTCACCGGGTCTCGCCGCTGCAAGAAACGGCGAAGAGGCGAGAAACCCAGAGTGTGTCCTGTCGGCGACCTTTTTGACACCTCAACTTGTAACTTTCCAGCGAGACGCGACCTCAAGCAAACAGTCTGTTCTTGCCTAAAATACGCTTGAAGGAAAGCATCCCTTCCGGGCAGACTACCATGAGGGTTCGTCGGTGTATTTGCAATGTACATTACCGAACGGGGAACGGTGTAGAGGTGCAAGAAAACACAACGTTGGTTATGGGCAAAGCAACAACGTGCTGCAGCAGTCAGTCCCAATGGTACACTCCCGAAGGCCCAACGATGGCCGAATAGCCCGACGACACCTCCCATTCAACAAGTACCTCCCTGCTCCTCTGTTGCTATTCTCGTCACCTCTTAGAGTGACCGAACAACATGCCTCATTCGCCAACTACGGAAAAAGCATGCACATCCACACACGCTTGTTAAAGTGAGCCCCACCGGAGGACAGTGCGTTTTCTCTCAACGGCCTGCCGACCGTTGCAGCCAAATTCAACGCCTGCTACACTCAACGCTCAGCCACGCAGCAAGAACGAATTCTCCTCCGCCGCTTCCCTATAGTTCGCGGCTTTTTCTTGCCCGCTGTCCGGCTACAGCGGCACGGGCGCATTTCATCAACCTGCCGGTCAGCGCGGTCGATGCCACCATAATCACAGACTACCTGCGGCGGCTCGGCGGGAGCTGCCGGTGCCCTGTGGGAGGCCCTGCCAGAGGCAGGTGGCAGAAATGAAAGGTAAGGGAGGGGAAGAAAGGGGGCACAAGGAAGGGGGGGGAGGGGGGAACAGACAACCAAAAGAACTTCCGCGGGGGCTGTTGTTGTCGGCATGGTGTTCCCTCCGTGCTTGGCGTGCCACAAATCTTGTGACCATATATTTTAAGAAGATTGCACCGGCCTGTAGCCTGTTTGTCCTTTTGAGTGTGGGCCATATTGCGTCGAAGGAACGCGCTTGCGAATAAATACCTACACATTGCGTATCTCTTTTCCACACGAGACGTACGGCATTAACGCAGGTGCACTCCGTCCGTACCGTCGCAATACGATACGCGCTCTCGAAAAAGATGAACCCTGCACGCACCCCGTGACAACTAGGCAATTGAAGCATAAACTCGTAGATACCACAAACCGCACCCTGGCCCAAACACAACCGTACACTACAGTGCAATCGCAGGTGCAAGCCATGCACACCTACGGGCCTCCTGCCACCGGCGCTGCCCCATTGTGCATGAATGATCCCTGGGTCAGGAGAATAGTCCGGGGAGGTTTTGCGCGCGGTACGTGCGAAAAGGGGAGTGAAGTCGTTACAGCACATTCCTAAGGACGACGCTGGACACACGGTGGTCTCCACGTGCCGAAAACCGGCGTTGCATATCCGTGTTCTTGATCAACACAGAAAAACAGAGAGGGTGAGGGGTCCAAGTAGAACGCGGTATCATCGCCGCAATCGCAACCAAGCGCATGCCAAAGAAGCGTCTTGTTTTTTTGTCACCAAGGGTCAACGGTGAACATCTAGCGCAGAAGGGCCTCCTGCGACCACATTCAAAATTCAATTCCCGGAAACGGTGATACATGCTCTGCACAGAGCTTTCAAGGCCTTCATGCCCCTGTCCCCCTCTACGCTCCACAGCAACAAAGACCTCCGAGGCGATGTCTGTGTCTCGAGCAAACTTTCCCAACGCACGACTGACTATCGATGTGTGCCGGCAACCGAACTACATCCCCGTGAGCGCACCTTGAGAGCCATGGAGCCGATTGAACCCTGGCCACCGCCCGTCCTTGGCCGGTGCGGGTTTCCCGGAGGGATCTGGTTGTTCTCCATGTACTCGATTACTTGGGCGGGGATTTCTGCCAAGACCTGGAGCATTGGGGGGGGGGATGGTTGCTCAAGCATCCCTCGTTTTCCTCAACGGTGTTGATCACACAGGATCCGCATTTGCGAGACTCACAGGTATTTCCGGTGTATTGATACACTTTTCGGACTCTGCACTTGAAGAACGGCCTTCTTGCCGGGAATACCCTTTACCCAGCCCGCGCGCACGTTTAGTCTACTCTCCGTCCTTTTTCCCCGACTCTCCCTGACCGCTTGTTTCCCACATCGTCCGGAAAGGCGTGTGTGACGTACGGTTAGGGCTGGCCTCGTAGCCCTCGAGTCACACTCGTCAAACCTGCCCGACTGGGTACACATTACTCCCAGAGAAATAGTTCGGTGTGCGTTCTTCGGTCTTGTGCACTTCCCCCGCTTTACGGTTCCATTTGTTTGTCGGACCTTCCCAGTAGTGTTCAGGGCGTTCGCAACCTCGTGCCAGATTTCGATGTATAGTTGGTACACAAGGCGTCCGAGACACCATTCCCAGTTGTGGACAGGTAGATCAGACGCTTCTACAACAACCAACGAAGGTCCTGCCGTAGGCACTCGATCATTTCGGCGTGAACAGAACACAGTTTGCTGTGACAACCAGCCCCGTCTACAACAGCCACAGCAACGACCCTCATTTCCCGCTCCCGCCCCCTAGCCCCCCGGCATCAGTTTCCTTGTGCACGAAACATCTTGTTCAAGGGTTGCACGCACCTCTTTCGCGAGAGCGTGCGAGCTCTTGCCGGCGAAGTCTCTCATCGGCACGAACTGCACGATGTCTCTTCCTGCCCGTTTTCCTGCCTTATTAACGAGGCGTACGTCGTCGCCGTCCAACCGCTTCATGGAGGTGTAGTCAGCCTCCCCCACGCCGACGCTGTTGTCATTGTAGATGATGATACCGTTAATGTGTGTTGTTCAAGTATTTGATATAAGGTACAGCGAGAGAGAGTGAGAGAAATAGAGAGACGGACAGACAGACAAACAGAGTCAGACAGGTGGACAGACAAAAGGGAGATAGAAGCAGCAGCGAGGGAAGTAGGAGAGGAGGGGGGAAAGCGAGGGAAAATGAGGCCGATAGGCAGAAACCAAACTTGTCGGTGCGTGGGCACAAGCAAGGCTGCCAACGTGCCTGTTCCAACAAACAACAAAAACAACAGCAACAGCAGCAGCAACAACAACGACAACAACTACAACCACACCACAAGAACTACAAAGACTCACATCACAACGCTGAACGGGTAGTCCGATGACGCCACAATCGCCTCCACCGTACTACCACCGTCAAAGCGCAAGAGTTCATGCAAGTCATGGTTAGAAGGCGGGGATCTATGCGGGAAAGAGCAATACCGTCGCGCGAGAAGGGGCAGAAGCCTACGTCTAACTGCTACTGGTCGGCGGTGTTATTTCAGCGGCGTGCACTCGATTCAAGTCCTCCGCCACGCAACCCCCCCGGGAACCAACCATGGCCATCCTCCCAAACGCGCGCGAGAGACAGGCTTACTTCTCAACGTCCATAATTGCCCCGTCGGTGATGAGCAGCAGAATCGTGTAGTATTGCCGGGACGGGTCCTTGGTCATCGTGGAAGCCGCCAAGGAAGCCACCTGAAGGGGTGGCGCCCAAGCAGCACGCCGGTTGATTTTTGCCGTCGCACAAGTACAAGAAAAAACACACCATCATCACTGAAAGAAGCTGAAGCTGAAGAAGAGCAAACCTTACTTGCATGAGACGAGGGCATCCATAATCTTCACAACGTACCAGTTCTGCCCTAAACGCCACCTATCGAAGTAGCGAAAGCACGGCGACCTAAAACAAACGGAACCTCCAGGATCTCTTGTCCTCCTTGCTGCTTTGTACTTCGCACGTCATGAACGGCTACAAAAGCGGAGCTGCCAGAGTTTCAACGTTTGCAATCTTCGGAGGATCTGCCCTTCTTGAGAGGTGTTCGGAAAATCTACTCTACTCTTTGCGTTCTGCGGAGAATCCGCCCTTTTGAGAGGTTTTCTGAGGGGGTATCTGCACCCCTTTCGCGGTCTACGGAAAAACGTTTGAGCATCAGCAAAGGGCACCACACCAAGCCTGGGGGAACGGAACATACAAAGCAGGCCGTGACCAATCTCTCATTCAAAGGCACATGCCAGCCAGAAAACCGGTTCCCGGTTCCCGACTAGATGGCCGCCGTTATGGTACCATGGACACGCATTATGTTGCTGCTTGCCAGACGTGCAAGCAAGTAGAACCGATTACAGAAAAAGAAACCGGAGAAGAGCTGACGAATTGCCGGGACGCCTTTCGTGACGAGGGCGCCGTCGACAGAACGGGTGGTGCGGGCTCATTGCTCGATGTGCTCGCTGAGGCACTATCTTGTTATTTTCGCGGAGTCTCCTTGACTCGCGTCGACCGTATCCAGGACGACGCTACTTCTGTCACGGTCGTGGTTGGAGCGAAAATCGCACTCCCGCGGAAGGACATCGGGAGGTACTAGTAAGAAGGCACAGGCTGCATGTTGTGTGCGGCGGAGCACATGTCGCCGTCGGGAATCGTCGAGCTGGGACGACAACGCCGCCGCGGGACTTTGAGCAGGTGCGGATTGCGGACGACAAGTGTATGGGTTGTGGAGTGGTCGCCAAAAGCCTATGCCAATCCCTCTCCAAACCGGTGCTTGTAGGGAGTCCCCACCCACGCAACAAACGCCTCAACAGTGAAGCCCTCCGGCTACGGAAGGTTAGCTCCTATGGTAGGGTGGGGATTGCCGTCTTACTGGAAACAGCAAACCACACCGAGTATTGTGCCGTTTCGGTGCCGCACAAGCATCGTATCCAAATCCCCTTCAACAACACGGACGGCGACAACACCGGTGGGTCCCGGCGACCAAGTGTTAGGGACAAAAAGGAGGACACAGGTTGTACAGTCGTAGGTATACATACCTTGCTTATGACCGGAGCGAAGAGGGTGGGTAAGCTCAGCTCTACGCGCTTCAAGCTCTGGCGGTACGTTTCCAGCACCCCCGAGATGCCCTCGACCTTCACGGAATTTTGGGAGAAAGGGTGGACACGAACGTACCCACACACCAATCCATGAACGGAAACCCAACAGAGAGCGAAGCGAGAGCACAGCGTCTGTGGCAGAAATTTGGTGGGCTGCTTGTGGCATCCATATGGTGGGTGCGGATGGAGATACGTTTGATGTTCCGCCGCCACTACTCCCCGTTTATCCTACACGACACCCCTCGAAACAGCCCTCCATTGAGACAAACAGGTCTTGGGGGTCGGCTCAGCCCTCAAACAACCTTCTGCCAAGGGAGTGGTACCCGACCCTTTCACGTCAGACGTAAAAGAGACTAAAAAAGAGCGAGGCACGCGCTGCAAGAAAATTCCGGCAGGTATCCACATGTGACCGAGGGAGGGCGGCTCACTTCGCAGGTCATCGGTAGCCGATGCCACAAAGACAGGAGGGGGGAAACATCGAGACGTGAAGCAGTACCTCGGCATCCTTCTCGTTGTCGTTGACCGCGAAGCAGTGGCTCGTCTGCCTTGGTGCTTTCTTGGGACGACCGCCGAAGCCGTACACGGGGAAACGCCTGTCGTCGTCGAAGTACTCCAAGACGCCCCCTACGGACTGGATGGCTTGTGCGTACTGCCCGGGGGCACAGCAGGGGAGGGGAGCGCAATGAGGGTGAAAGAGTTGTTAGGTCTTCTTCTGTGGCTCACCACGGCAGCAACCCTCTTTCTGCTCGTTCTTCGAGCAACCGAGGGTAAAAATAACAATAGGCCGTGTGTGGAACGTGGAGAGGAGGAGGGTATTGGACGGTGCTTGCGGCGCTTATCCAGCAAAACATCCATGGACAAGGAAAAACGCGTACACACACTTGGAGATTTCAGCGAAGCGGTCTGCTACGAGATTGGACCCAAACTACGACGGGACACGCAGAAATAGAGAGTAGCTTACACTGGGAGACTGAAGCGAAGCGATTTGCAATGAGGTTACACCAAACCTACACTACAACTAGTTATTTTGTCGACGCGACCGCTCGCAGCCTCCTGCACAACCGCAGGTTGGGTTGCCCGCCAAATATAATAAATTGTGCACCTGAATGCCTACGCTTGACATGTCTTCGTTTGCTTGCGAAAAAAGTTTCGAGAACGTTCTGCACAACACCTGTTGCTGGTATGTGTCATCTGATGGTAAGTGAGTTACGTACCCCCCTGTGCCTTGGGCTCTCATGGGCCACCTCTGCTCGGGCTTCGTGCACGTCAACACGACTGATGCTCTGAACTGTTAACACGTGTATGCATACGAAGTACATGTATCAACAGGGATCGGCTGCTAGCGTGGTAACATCTGGTCACCTTCCCGAACACCTAAGCAACACCTCAGAATGATTCGACGGAACCCCCTTCGTTGGGTCTGACGAGAAGGTGAAACTTGCACACGTGTGTATCTGCTCTATGTTTATCAACAAGCGTGAAAACTGGCGGAGCATTGAAGAGAACACAGAAGTCTTGCCGCGCCCAAAAAAAAAAAGCCCGAAACACTCGCTTTTCAGCAGCCCCCCTGGGGCGTCGCGGACGAGACCAGACGGAAGGAGCCACCTTCTGGTCCTGGGCAATTACAACACTTGCTTAATGATCGCCACAAATAGCGCGCGCGGGTTGAGCAACGACCGCTCTCTCCGTGATTCTGAAACGGTCTAAGATAATAGCTATTAACACGACTACGATCGATCTCTCATCAGAGTGCTCTGTTACGCCACACTATGGACTGCGTAATATGTGCATTCGCTGCGGGAAAATCCTTGCAAAGGTGCGAACCCGTAAGCACAATCGCATGAATGCAGCAGTGGTCCCCAGATATATTGCGGTGTAGAGGACAGAAAAAAATCGCCGCGATATATCGGAACCCGCGCGATTGAATGGATGTTGTGCCAAGGAATTAATAGCGCGACGTCTCGGGAACCGCGCTGTTCGGGACCGCTTATATCGGGACCACTATTGTGTAGGCCTACAACAATTACCTCGTTGTCGGTGCGGCCGGTAGGGTCGTGGTAGTGAAGCGAGTCGGGCTGCGAAGGGCGGCCGTTGCTCAAGGTATAGTCGATGGCCACCGTGAAGCCAATCTGCATGCCCCCCGCGATGTAGCCGAAGAAACTGAGGTGAGGATCGCATCGGATCGCGCCGACGACAAACAGGATGGCAGCAGCAGCAGCAGCAGCAGCAGCAGCGGCGGCGGCGGCGGCAGCAAGGAGAGGTGGCGACAGAGGCGACGGGGCCGTCAGCAGGAGAATAGCGCCGCACGACAATATTGAGAGAGGGCAAGGAGTAGGAGCGGCATCTGCACAACGACAGAAAGAAGCAACGACGCTCTGCGAGAAGTTCAGTTGCTATTAGGTGCTGGTCGGACATGATGAGCACGCTGCACGTCGGCTGTCGCACCGAACACAGCCGCCACAATGATGGGGGCGCGATGATGTGGGGCGTGTACGAAGGGGGCGGGACCCGATAGTAAATGAAAAACCAATAAAAGACGACGACGAATAAACACAAAAAAGACTAGCTGAAGGTTTTGACTCGGCCGGCTCGATCGAAAACAAAAAGAGAAACCAGATGCGGCGTGTTCCATAACTTCCCTTCATCCTCCCGGTTTAACCCAGAAAAATACGAGAAAGTTCCCACCTTCCTCTCAGACAATGGGCGACCGCCGGAGAAACTTTGGGTTCCCCGTGTATGGGGGAGGGTGGATGTCGATCAGCAAATTATCATTTGCTCTACCGAAAAATTCTCTATTATCTAGCTCCCAGCACATTGTTGAAACCCCTGTCCTCTGGGGAACACTCGGCGTACTACTGCTGCGATGTTGGCTAAGCAGAAACAAACAACGAAAGCGATAGGGTTGTGTGTCCCAAAAGAAGCACGCGGAGCCTAACACATACGTTGGTTGGGGCGTGATCGTGCACGACCTCACGGTTATCGCACGCCGTCCTTTGTCCAGCATCAAGTTCTGCAACCCGGTCTCCGCCATCGACTGCAAGAGAAGTAACCGAAAATGTTTTTGAAAAAGCGGGAGCGTGTTTGTCGGAGATCGATACGGACAACAGCGGTCCAACAAGCACAGGTGTCGATGTTGACGTTGCTCTCGCGATGGCAACGGTAGCGCCGTGTCACACTTCGTACTGTCATTGAAAGACCAGGGCCTCCTTGAGGCAGATCAAGCAAAGACGGCGGGTCAAACCGAAACACCGTTCTAACGTCTCCCTGGCCACTCCCAGCACAAAGAAGCCTCAAGAGGAACGTATCGTACACTTGTGTACAAGGGCCACTAGCACGCCTGGAGTGAGAATACGCTCATTCAGCGCGCGCACGACGTTTTCAAGTAGAAAAATCCAACAACAACAACAACAACAACAACAAGAACCCCATACTCTTAACAAAGTTCAGGCACATAATACGACGAACTCGACAACAAGGCAAGAGGTGAGTGACGAATGACTTCGGTACTTGCACACAATTTCCAAGAACGTCCCGTCTTCCGAACAGCTTCCGTTGTTCGCAGCTATGATATATGAGATGGGATGCATGACGGCTCCGAATATCAAGCTCAAGATGACACCATGTGGGTGCTGCCTGCAGATAAAATCATGCTATCAAAGCTATCGAGTTGTGAAGTTATCAACCTAACGTATCTCTCGTCGGCGCCAGTGATACAAGCTTTCACAATCCAGGGGGCTATCCGGCAGACCACTAACGAATCCTATTCTTCGAGGAGGACGTACTACTGTAGGGTCACATCGCCCAATCCAAGATCGACAGCATCATGGGCATTCGGGGCGGCAACGAGTAAACCACCACACACATCTTACCTTGATGTCGTTAACGCTAGCCTTGCAGGACCCAAGCAGAACATGGTTCCCGGACCTGTCGAAGAAATCGGAAATAGTTCACCACCAACAGCGGCAAGGGCGCGTTGAACACCAACCCCGAAACACATCAATCACTACCAGCACCATATGTAGGCACGTTTGGTCGTCGGAATGTGCAACACAGAGGCAAGGCACGCGGAAATCCAGGTGGGAGGCCTGTGGGAGAAACCGCTGTTCTGGTGAGGGACGGACGGGGGGAGGGAGAAAAGGCCAAAAAAGAAGTGGGTTCGGCGTGCAATGGAGGCGGGCTAGGCCAGAGGACAAGCGATGCAGTTGACCGGATAATCTGGATGGAGCCAAGATCTCACTGTGTGCGAAGCAGGGCGAATCTCCGAACAACGCTAGGCGGCGGTGAGAAACATGCGGCCTTGATCTCAACATTAAATTTGGTGGCGAGGGTCAACATCGCCGTGGGAGGGAGGGGTAAAAAACGGAGGAGTGGGAGAAGGAGGGAGAGAGATGATTTTGAGGAGGAACAATACTCGCTTTTTCCAGGTGAAAGCCTCGATGAGGAGCGGGCGATAGGGGTCACCGTTTGCCAGGACCTGCAGAGAGATCTTGATTGGTGCCCATGGTCTTGGAGGGGACCCCTGTAGACGTACATAACGGCCAGTCAGGAAGGGAAAGTTCGTAAGTCAAGGAGAAAGCGACGACGAAGATATTCAACACGAAATGAAAAATAACAAGAGGAGGGACAACCAACCAAGGGGCACTACTCGAGAGCTCTAACAAACTTGAACGATCGGAAGTCATGATAGGGCATTGATCTCGTTAGGGTGGTGGCAGGCGAAGGAGGAGAGGGACCAGAGGAAACGAAACCCTTGATCCAACGCGTTACTTACCTCGCCCTCTAATCTATGAACATCCTACTTGATGTCGACACAGCTTCCAAGACCCTACTCGGGAGCTGGAACGACTACAACAACGAGAGGAAAAAAAAGACATCATTCCACCGACTACACACATTTGCCTCCGCTGTTGAAGTTGAGCCTTGTCGAAGCCGTGTATCATCACGAACAACATCCAACCGCTCGTGCTCGCGCGAAACGCCACAAAATATTTCCTTACGTACCTCGGTCACTTTGGAACACTGTAACAATGCTTGATGGCAGCAAAATTGTATAACTTGCACGTGGAGCGTTACCGTAAAGGGTAGATGGGTGCCACGAAACACAAAGCATGATGACATACTTCTCTCAAGGCTTTTGCAAAATCCTGTTCTTGCTGACTGGCGCATGTTGGCAGCTTCAATAACCTATTGTACACCTCGAGGCGCGACGCGGCGTTCCACCAGTTCCAACATAAATAAAAAGACGAACAGTAGGCTTGAAGGAACAACAACAAATACGTACGGACCTTAGCCACTTCGGTCTTGAAGCACCGGATCGGCGGGCCCTTCTCGCTCACTCGACTGACGCGTAAAAATGGCCACTTTCTTTCAGTCCAACGCGGCACGGGCAGGGCGTGGGGGGGCATCGAGTTATGTCAATTGCCGCTCCCGGCTTCTGAGAAATATATATTGGCGGTACCGTTGCTGCTGCTGCCGCTGCCGCTGCCGCTGCTGCTGCTGCTGCTGCTGCTGCTGCCACTGCCACTGCTGCCACTGCTGCTACTGTTGTAGTCGCAGCAACCGTTGCTGCCAGCGATGGTTGCGTTCGGGTTTGTGTTGACAGTATCAACGTGTGGGTGTTGTTTCTGAATGGATCAGTTTGGGCTCCGGAGGCGTGGTGGGAAGTGGTCACTAAGGCAACGGCACCACCCCCTCCAACACCAACACCACCAACAACACTAGCATTTCTTACCCAATATTAGAGCCGGCCAGTGTTATCTGGGCGAGACCATCGCAGTTGGCCACCTCTTCTGCGCGAACCACGACCTTCGGCGAGCCGCCCTTCCCCCTCTTCGCGCCAGACAAGAGGCCCTCCCATGTCTGATCTCGCCCCCCGACCACCTGCGCGAGCGCACACTCCGCCGCCCCTTGGAAGTCCTAAAAGGTGGGTGAGGAAGGGTGTGTGTGGGGGGGGTAGAGGAGAAGGATAAATGCTCCTCTTGCGTTGGCATGGAAAAGCGGTGGAGAGGCACACGCGCATAGTACAGAGTTCCGCAAATGCCTCGCGGGCCATGAGACTCCACACCGAGTGAGTCAAAGGGTAACCCGCACCTGCTTTGATGGGTCGATGTGTGTGGCGTCCGATGATGAGTAAGCCGTGTCCACGTCGTACACCTCGAAGCGGAGTGTCTGGACCTCTTCGAACTTGAAAGTCTGATTGAGTTTTTGGTTGTGAGAACGAGTAAAATGGCGAAGAAAGTACAAGGGGCATCAAACAAGAAGAACAACGGGAAAAAAGGACAAAGTGGGGCTATTGCTGCGACGATATGGGCTACGTAACAATCACGCCGGCATCCCTCCAGGACAAGCACCCAGCAGATGACAGCACATACACCGTCGTGCTTCTTGACACCTGATACCAGCTGCTGGAACGCAAGTAGGGGGGGCACTCTCCCAACCATGACCCTATCCTACGGAAAATCTCCAGCCCCTGCCACCTCCTGAACGGTTCGAAGGCTCCTCTCTCGGATGCGTAGTCAAATTCCCACCTTCAGCAGTATGTCTTTTCTCTCTATAATACAGTATCTACTTTCCCCCAAAGATGCAAACTATGCCCGCCCCCTTGTCCCTTCCCTAATTAGTTTGACCTTCCCATCTGCCCCCGCTCTATTGCTTTCACGGTCGGACTGCTGTATCAGCACTATTCACGCATGGGCTCTCTCTCTCTTCATCGCCTGTTATCTCTCCCCCCCCATCCCCGCTCTTGATTGGATGGCGTTTCCCTCTCACCACCGGCACGATGGTGACGAACTTAGGGTCGAGGCTGTTGGAGATGATCTCCGTCCGACCGATCTCCTTGCTTTCGTTGCTGTCCGAGGGGGAGTGGATCTTCACCAACTATAAAAAAAATGAAAAAAAAAAAAATATATATATATATGGATATATATAAAAGAATCCTGTGCGATAACGATGATGCTGGTGTGTTCCAAGGGGGGCACTCCAAGAGCGATCGAAACGTAGACTCGCAGCGCTGGCAAGCGAACACTGCAGATAAGTCAGCGGAATATCACTAGGAGTTATCGCTTCTTCTCTACCGTACGGAGGTGGAACTTAACACCGTGGCGCCGAAGGAACGGCCTGCAAAGATCCAAGGCTGTAGCAGCAGCAGGATGGGGAACTCAAGTCCAATCTGTGTGGCCTCGGGTTTTCGGATCGGAGCTGCATGTGCACAAACAAAGGGTGAATTGCTCTGTCGAGAAAAAACATGAACAGACTTCTGGCGACAGGGAAAAGAAGACGCAACACTGCTGTGAAAGGAAACCATTCGACAAAAGAGGCGATGCAAGGCTGTGTGCATAGATAGTCCATCCAGGCGAGGTGTACTCCTAGCATCAGGTGTCGGTTGTATCGACTTGGCTTCACTCGATGTTGAGCACGGTAGAGAATCCGGAGCAATACGTTCTGATTTTCTCCCGAAGCCTTGGCTGGTTATGTCATGCTCTTTTCCTGGCCTAGTAGAGTGACTTTCTTCCGTAGTTGAAGTGATCGGGTAGCGTAGACATTTACAGCAGCAGGACACTTTGTTTTGTCGCGGCGATGGGAAAAAAGCGATAGAAGCAGAAGAAGTGAAGTGGCGCAACTATACAGTTCGAGTATGTGGGAAGGACTACACACCGCGAAGGCAGAACACTTCGCAGTAGGGAAAAACCTGATACGGTTTCACATTCCACGTTACCATCTACTTCCAGTTTTGAAACCTTGATCCCCAAAAGAAGTGCATAGCGGAAACGCCACAAAGGACTGCTCGTTCCAGAGATATTTTCAAAAATCCCTTTCTTTGGGGATTGGTGTAAGACGACGGGAACACCCACCCAAGGAAATTTCTTAGCAGTGTTAGACCCGCTCTCTCTCGCCCCTCCCCCCGTGCGACAAGCCAAGCAATTGCAGAAGAGGTGTGGCCGGGAAAGCCCTCTTTGCTTCCGGTACTCACCACGAAAGGGTCCGAATTGGAAAACGCGTCCATGTTTACCAACCCTTTGCACGAGATTGAAAGCTGTAGCCTCGTGTAAAGGGGGGCTGGTCGTTGGTTGGTTGATGGTGTAGCATCGACATCGGCACACACCGAAGGAATGGAAGGGGGCGGGATTGGGGTTCGCAAGGATGAGCCGCGGCAACCCACGAGGGAGATTCACGAAGGCAGAGGCGGGCGACGGGATCTCGGCTTCGGAGGGGATCCGATGAATCAAGAGAGCTGAGAGGAGCTGTTCAACGAGCGAGTTGCAAACTCGATGACCTTGTCCTTGATGCCAAACGTTCTTCAGCACTGAAACGAGCATCGGTTGTGGAGCTGAAGCTATGTGAACACTACACAGCAGTGATTTTGCTGACAACCCAAGATTTATTTTGCCTACAAGGTGCAAAGGCCAAACAGCGTGTGTCCCACATACACCGGGTTCCGTGTTTTGCTTTGTATCTACCGGCTTTGAAACCATATGCTGCAATGAAAAAGTTGGCGACGCGCCTTGGGACATCCGCATGACTGCTGCTCGGCACTGCTGTCGATACATGTGCACGACAAACCGTCCAAATGCAACTTGCTTGGCAAACATGGCACAAAAGTGAAAGGTAGCATGACTCCCGCCAGATGCAAGACACGGCGCCGACTTGCGCATTGTTTCGCCATCGACAGAAAGCAGCGGATATCCCGTAACATGTGGGCAACCGAAGCTATTCAGCATAGAACAGCGTCACATGTACCACTTGCTCCCAATCCTCTCCAACCGCCCCGCCCTCTCTCGTCGTCGCTCCTGCGACCTGCGAGGCTGTTTCTTCACCTGATTCAGACAGCATGCTTGCTGCATCTTCGGCCATATCTGCGTAGCTTGCCTTCTGGTCTGTCAACTTCGTCGAATCTTTGTCATTTTCCGTCGAGCACATGCACCCCATCAGACATGCCATGCTGCAGCGTGTCTTGGCTGTCGAACCGCTCTCTCCTTTCCTCCAACTGCCAAGTGTTCCGAGTGCAACGTCGATGATGTGCTGACAACTATTGTTGTACTCAAGCGGTTCAAATCTGCCTGCCGCGGAGAGTATTATTGTGTAAGAGGCAGAAAGCTTATCTTCTAGGTCTACGTGAAGGGGAGGGCACACAGCGAAGCAAGGTATGTCCCAACCTGTTTCCTCGTGCAGTCCTTGCAGGAATAAAAGTTAGTGCTCCACCTTCACCTTGTGGCACACATTCCAGAACGCGGCGGGATTAGTTGCCTTTCCAAATGAGGAGTCGCGCGTCGGAGTTTTCCGGGAACGCGGAGATCTTTCCTTGCATCCAGCCGCATTTTACCGTGCAACGTCTGCTACGGTTGCCTCGCGATGGGCACTTCCTCCCCCCAGCCGGACTCAGAAGACAAGAAATCCACCTCTTTGTCCGTGCACGTCGGTCTCCGGGCAGAGTTTCGAACATCTTCTGGCTCGATACCGCCTACACAGCACACGATCCCTGTTGAAATACTGCTGTAGTTGAGACTCTTCCTGGGAGCGGTTCAGCAGCAGAAGCAACAGCAGCACAGCATGGGGTGCGCGGGCTCAAAGGAAGATGACACGGACGCTACGAAAGTGAGGGACATGGGCACCAACTACGCAGACATGGCCGAAGATGCAGCAAGCATGCTGTCTGCATCAGGTGAAAAAACTTAGGGAGAGCCTGCTGCGGATGGGACCCACAGCTAACCCAACAAACTGGTAGAATCGACTTCGATAGAGAGAGGGATAGGGAGCTGGTTACAACCGCAGTCTATATTTGGTCTTCAGTGTAGAATAGTTTGGGCTGCCCTGTGCTTGCTGTACTACTGCTGTCAATGGCGACTCAGGAGTGCACAGGTTGGGCGCCGTGTCAGGTCACTCTTGGCAGGCTGAGGCGTCGCTTTTGCCTTGGATCAAGGGAGGGAGAGGATGAAATGCACTGAGATGCACCGCTGCCAGGTTGTCTGCTTCAGTCTAGACTAGACTAATGGGAATATGCTACAGACTTGAAGTGCACACGGCAGCAGCAGTAGCGCTGACGTTCCAGGAAGTGCCGCCAGCTCGTGCATATCGTGTGGTAGCCGACAGAGGTAGCACAGCAGCAGTTAGATAGCGGCCATCACACACAAGAGCGACGGCGCCTTCTTCTGTAGAGAGGCAAACTAAGAGGTGATGTGTAAGTAGTAAAGCTACAAGGCTTCGTGCTTTCGAAGTGAGCTGCAAGTCCCAAAACCGAGCTTGCAGAAGAACTGTAAGAACTTTATCAAGGAACAGCATTGCATCACTAATCGGCTTTGCGTGATGGTTCCTCAGCTATCTGCACCCTCAACCCCCTTTGCTACGTCACATCCCGTACGTATGCCCAGTACAGCAGTAGCGTATGCGGTGTTAATCCGACGGTGGCTACTGCTGCAAGCACGTAACATTTGACTTGCCGTTCCCTTGCGCGTTGAACACGGACGCGTTACATGTTCGATAAAGTCGTTGTGTTGTGTCCCGATTGCAATATTTCCCATAGGAATAGATCGGCTGTTGGGGACACTATTGTCCCCGTCTTCTTCACCTGCTTTACCTCGCGAAGAATGGCATGCTTGTCTCCTTTCCTCTTTTGGTCCTCCTTTGGAACTACCCGACAACGACGGGTACCGAGATACAAGGGGACACCTCTACAGCAGTCGTCTCGTTTGGACGCTTTGTAGAGAGGATAAGTATGAGGGTATGACAGGTCGAATCGCGGGACGAGTAGGCCGCGGGTTCGTTGCGCCGCGTCTGTCTACCCTTGAGTGGAAAGCGCTACTACATGTAGGGGCAAGCGCGGAAGAAGCACGTAGCCCCCCGATGAGAGGAGGTACCGGGCAACCTAGGGCTTGGGTTAGCAGGTCTCGCTTACCCTCCAGAGGAATATCTCAACCTCCTTTTCGTGCCCCGCTTACCACGCTTGTTGTCTAAAAGCCCTTCAAACGTCCCCTCGATAGTGTCTTCTCGACTTCGAGGGGACGTTAGATTCGAGGGCTTTTAGAGAAGAAACGGCTCTGGTGGGAAGGCAGTGTTACACTTGCACCCAGCGATGGAACTGGCTGCACCGTCCAGTCAGCAGGCGTCGTTCGCTCTTTTTCTTACATTTCAGTAATTTCGAACGAACACCGAAATATCTGTGCGTGGTAAGGCGGGTTTAAAAGCAGCTTGCGTTAAGACGACAGCAAATTAGGTGACCCAAGATAGCACACCCTGGATCGAGTGTCAATGCTCGATGATCACTCCACGACGAAGAGGATGCCCAAAACAAATGATGCACTTTCGGAAAACCTCTCGACGAGACGATTCCAACGTCGCCACTTTCGGCGCCGTCTCTGCTTTTCCTGCCGCATCATCGAGCTTTCAAGAGCGATCCAGGGTGTGTGTGTGACATCATGTGCGACCTACGATAGGTGCCCGGGACAGCTTTTTTTTGCCGAATTTTGAAGGAATGTCCCGGAAAAATTGCTACCCCGTGCCGACTGAAAATGGGCAAGCCTCCATATTTCTAGGAAATAGACATCCATTCAAAGAGAGACTACCGGTTTTTCTGTACTGAACGACAAGGCGGGCGCGCGGCACACGAGGGGAAGAGAGGCACAACCCGATTCCAACCTTTACATCGAACATTATTCAAAGTATTTTGTCCGGGCGGTGTGGTCGGCCGCTAAGTAAGGCAGCCGAGCGCAGGGGAGAGGACGCCAGAAGTATAGTGTATTCACAGCAGGAAGCACTTGTACCGCGGCCCGCGACAGCGGCAGAACCGTGATCTTAATAGCAGCGTCATAAGCGTGTCGTGGCGAAAATATGGAAACCTTCAGGACGGCGATCAGACGATGTTTGTGCAGCAATTGTCAGCTCGGTCGTGTACGGTCGACCGTTGTAAGAGAGTGGGTAATCTTCCAACACACAAGTTGCTTGATGCACACCCATCCGGCGAGGGTTGGCAGAGAAACCCTTGAGACAGTTTAATCCAGCAGAATAGGCACCTTCCGGAGGAGCCCTGCAACCGCTTGATGCTGATGAGGAGGGTTGTCCCTTGACGTGCGTGAACCAACCACTCCGGTGTGCCATTCTCGTTTCAGCATCGGTCCCCGCATCCACGCCGCCTGTTATTGGCCTTTAGTTTAAAGTCGCGTTCTAAAAACTTAAAAGTTACTACTGCACCCAATACAAAGTAAAATAAGTTTAAATAATCTTATTTTCAAACTAATATGCAAAGTAAATGTTATGAAATTTGATGTATTCAACTTTTTGATAAAAGAGTTACTCTTTTTCTATATTTCAAGGAGGCGCACGAGTACACAACAACGTCCCTCCTTACCAACAGGACAGACCACAGCACGCCGTTCGTTCTCACTGTCATTCTACGCCTGCCCTTGATTGCTGCGTCGCGTGCCCTAATGCCGCTCCCCTGCAACTCCTCCGGTGTGTGGCGATGTTTGGTGCTAACCACCAACCAATCACCGACCAGGCCCCCTCTACACGAGGCTGCAGCTTTCGATCTCGTGCAAACAACTGGTAAACCTCGACCAGCTCTCCAAGTCGGACCCCTTCGTGGTGAGGACCGGAGAAAGCAAGGAGGCTTTCGCATCTGTTCCTCTTTTGTGTTAGCAGTAGCTTGGTTCTTCGC